ACTGTCTAAACATTGGAGAACATGTTTTGTGCGCGGCGCTACGGCGGGAGCCCCATTTTGGAAAGGGACGCTCTTCATCTTTGTAATTGCTGCAAGCATCAAAAAGGAGTGTGCTTGGCGCTCATGCGAGAGGTCTATTTTGAAAATGACCCCCTCCATCTCTGTGATTGTAGTAAGCTGTGAAGGCGGATGGGTGCGGCGCGACGGACCAGTTTGAAAGCACCTCCTCTCCATCCTTTCAGCAGTGTGCGTGGCGCTGGGGCGAGAACTCTATTTGGAAAACCACCCCCGTCTAGCTGTTGTAAGCTTCAGGTTTCGGGGGCATAAGTGGTGAGTAAGTCTCAGGCGAAACACTCGGCCCGATCTATCCACGCCTTTTCGGGTGCGACAGGGAGGAACTAGCTACCTTCCCTGCTCCGCCCCTTCCCTATCTTTATCCTTTTGTGCTGGTTTTGTATGTGTGGCCATATTGGCCACAGGGTTTCTCACGCAACGGTTCATCAAGATTCTGAGTCACAGGTCCGTGCTTAGGCTCGCCTCTGGCGGTTTTGCCGGTGAGCTCCGTTTTACCGCTTGGCGTGTGTCTGCTCTCGGTGTCCTCCTCCTCTCCCCCGCCCTCCTGCCTCTCCTCGGGGCATGCCTGCAGGGTGGAGCCCCCTTCCCATCAGCTGGGAAGCTGGCAGTTGTCATCACCGTGTGTTTTTTCTTCATTTTCTCTGGGAAAACAAGGAGGAGGGCTGGAGGTGAGGCGCAGTCGAACCAGCTTGCTGGGGCGCTGCGAGGGCCCCCCCCAGGCGCGCCCCTGATGAAGTGGAGGCTCTGCTGCCTGGGAGGCCACGTGACCTCGATCAGGACCTCGGGGGACGCCGTCCGTCCGCCCGCCACCAGCCCCGGCCGAGCAAGCCCTGGGCTTGTGCTTCGGTGCCTGCGTACGGTAGGTTCGCGTTGTGTCGGCTGGCGGCGACCCCAGCGCGGGCGCTTCCGTTTGAACGCCCTGGCGATGCAGACTCGGTCGATGTTGAATGATTTGACCTTTCCGAAGTGGCCGATCGTTCAATGTTGCACGATCCCCGCAGTGCCAGAAACCATCCGTCTCTCCGTACGCCGTCTCTCGAAGAATGCGGTCGGGCATGTTCGGTTAGCGCGTCGCTACGCCGGGTCCGGCCCACCATGCTGCGGAGCGACACGCTATCCACGTCACCTTTGCCAGGCGTCAACGTCCCCAGCTCTCCGTCCTGAGCTCTGCCCAGCTTCCCGCCCCGCGGAGCGCAGCGACAGGCCATCCACTCGCAGGTCGTAGCGCGTCGCCGGGGCCGCCGCCGCGACACGCCAAGCAGACATTCCTGGCTGTACTCATCGACATAAGCACGCACTTTCGGAAGTCTGCGCGGATGTCTTACACCTGCGCTGGACCCCCCCTGGCGGCGCCTCCTCCTCCTCCTCCTCCTCCTCCTCCTCCTCCTCCTCCTCCTCCTCCTCCTCCTCCCAGCTGCCAGGGTGCAGAACAGCCCAGGGAGCCCCCACCGAAGCGGCCTCGGTTGCAGTGAGTTGCTGCGCCGAGCGCCGTAAGCTGCGGAGGGAGACAACGGTAAGAGTTCCATCCCTGTAGGCTTCCATATCTTCCCTAGGGGCCGCAAGTGCTTGACATGAGATGCACCTGGCTCCCAACGGCTCCACCACCACCACCACCTCCTCCTCCTCCTCCTCCTCTTCTCCTCCTCCTCCTCCTCCTCCTTCTCGTCCTCCTCTCTCTCCTCCTCCAGCCACCGGCGCCCCCTGGCGCGCTCCGCGCGACAGGCAGGGGTGTCCAGCGTCGATCCAAGAATCCCGTGCGGTCCCTCGACCGTTTCGGTTGATGTGCAGCTTCTTATGACTCAGCGGGGGGAAGACACAGACCCAATGAAGTCGTCGATCCCCAAGAAGATATGGGACACTATGGGGAGTGTTGGGGAGAGGACGCTCCAGGAAATACGGGACACTGCTGGGAATCCTGGCATGTGTGTCCATCTATTTGGGTGTCCCTGGGGCCCGTCAATTAACCTCTGGAGGTCTGTACTTTTGGCCCCCCCCGTTTTTCTAAAACCTCTTCCTCTTCCTCTTCTTCCTCCTCCTCCTCCTTCTCCCCCCTCTCCCCCTCCTCCCCCCTCGCTATCGTAGTCGTAGCTGTCGTCGCCGTTGTTGCGCGGCGGGCGTCGCGGAACACCATAATTCGTTACTCCCCCGTTGTTGGGATTCCAGTCCTTTGAACGGCCGACGAAGAAATAATCAGTCACCCCCTATTGGTGGGACACCAGTCCTGAAAGAAGGACGCCGAACAATCAATCAGTTACCCCCTGTTGGTGGGACCCAAGTTCTTCAGGAAGGCCGCCGAACAATCAATCAGTTACCCCCTGTTGATGGGACCCCAGTACTTCAAGAAGGCCGCCGAACAAATCATGAGTTACCCCTTGCTGGTGGGACCCCAGGACCCCAGTCCTTCGAGATGGCCGCCGACCAAACACACTCATATCTTCTGTTAAGAAACTCCCTCCCGCCAAACTGGGTCTCAAAATTTATTAAAATCCGATAGCGAATTCCCAAAAGCTGGCTCAGTTTCTTAACGCCGGCATCTTCTTACTGATCTTCCTCCAGATCTTCGGGATCTTCTTCCAGATCTTCGTCGAGATCTTCCTGTGGATCTTCCCTCAGATATTATTCCCGATCTTCTTCTGTATTCTCTCCGAGAGTTTCCCCCAGATCTTCGCCCAAATCCTCTCCGAGATCTGCGCCCAGATCTTCCTTCAGATCCACGCCCAAATCAATCCCTCCTTAGATCTCCCCCCAGATTTTCATAGAGATCTTCCCCTAGATCTTTCCCCTAGATCTTCCCCTGGATCTTCCCCCAGATCTTGCACCAGATCTTCCTTCATATTTCCTTTCAGATCTTACTCCCGATCTCCTTCCGGGTCGCCACGCAGCTCTTTCACCAGATCTGTCCCCTGATCTTTCTCCAGATCCTCCCCCAGATCTTCCCCCAGATCTTCCTCCAGATCTTCCTCCAGATCTTCCTCTGGATCATCCTCCAGATGTTCCTCCAGATCTTCCTTCAGATCTTCCTCCAGATCTCCCTCCAGATGTTCCTCCAGATCTTCCTCCGGATCTTCCTCCAGATCTTCCTCCAGATCTTCTTCCAGATCTTCCCCAACATCTTCCTCCAGATCTTCCTCCAGATCTTCCTCCAGATCTTCCTCCAGATCTTCCTCCAGATTTTCCTCCAGATCTTCCTCCAGATCTTCCTCCAGATCTTCTTCCAGATCTTTCTCCAGATCTTCCTCCAGATCTTCCTCCAGATCTTCCTCCAGATCTTCCTCCGGAGCTCTTCCTCCAGATCTTCCTCGAGATCTTCCTCCAGATCTTCCTCCAGATCTTCCTCCAGATCTTCCTCCAGATCTTCCTCCAGATCTTCCTCCAGAGGTTCCTCGAGATTTTCCTCCAGATCTCTCTCCAGGTCTTCCTCCAGATCTTCCTCCAGATCTTCCTCCAGATCTTCCTCCAGATCTTCCTCCAGATCTTCCTTCAGCTTGCATGGTCTTTCTGTAGATCTCTCCGCAGATCCTCATCAATATCTACACACATCTCGTCCGATCTTCCTCCAGATCTTCCTTCTCATGAAACCCAATTTCTTCTTTGAGATATTCCTCAATATCTTTTCCCAGATCGTCGTTTCAGAGCTTCTCCCATATCCACTCCCATCTTCCTCCAGATCTTCCTCTGGATCTCCCTCCAGATCTTCCTCCAGATCCTCCTCCAGATCTTCCTCCAAATCTTCCTCCAGATCTTCTTCCAGATCTTCCTCCACAGCTCTTCCTCCGGATCTTCCTCCAGATTTTCCTCCGGATCTTCCTCCAGATCTTCCTCCAGATCTTCCTCCAGATCTTCCTCCAGATCTTCCTCCAGATCTTCCTCCAGATCTTCCTCGAGATGTTCCTCCAGATCTTCCTCCAGATCTTCCTCCAGATCTTCCTCCAGATCTTCCTCCAGATCTTCCTCCAGATCTTCCTCCAGATTTTCCTCCGGATCTTCCTCCAGACCTTCCTCCAGATCTTCCTCCAGATCTTCCTCCAGGTCTTCCTCCAGATCTTCCTGCAGATCTTTATCCAGATCTTCCTCCAGATCTTCCTCCAGATCTTCCTCCAGATCTTCCTCCAGATCTTCCTCCAGATCTTCCTTCAGATCTTCCTCCAGATCTTCCTCCAGATCTTCCTCCAGATCTTCCTCCAGATCTTCCTCCAGATCTTCCTCCAGATCTTCATCGAGATCTTCCTCTAGCTTGTTCCCCGTGTGTTCATCCAAGTACTCCCCCAGATCTCCCTCCATATGTTCCTGCAGATATTTCTCCAGATCTTCCTCCACATCTTCCCCCAGATCTTCTTGCAGATTTCCATAGATCGCCTCCCGGATTTTGCTCTGGCTGTTCTCCCGGATATTCCCCCAGATCACCACCCAGATCCTCGCCCAGATCTTGACGTGTTCCTGTATGTTGTTTGCTGCAGAGCCCCCGGCGCCGGAATCGGCACAATCACCGGCACAATCTTCATCGGAACTACCCACACTGGCGTCGCGCTGCGCTAAGAAATTGCACGTTTCACGGCTGGCTCTCGCAAGGGGGCTAAGCAATTCAGCGAAGCTGGGTCTCAATTTCTTACTGGAAGATTTCTCAGCATAAGTTTTGAGTGTAATCAGTTACCCCCTGTTGGTGGGACCCCAGTCCTTCAGGAAGGCCGCCGCAAATCATCAGTTACCCCCTATTGGTGGGACCCCAGTCCTTCAAGAAGGCCGCCGAACAAGTCATGAGTTGCCCCTTGCTGGTGGGGCCCCAGGACCCCAGTCCTCCGAGATGGCCGCCGACCAAATAATAAGTTATCCCCTGCTGGTGGGACCCCAGTCCTTCAAGAAGTCAGCCGAATCAACAATCAGTTGCCCCGTGTTGGTTGGACCCCAGTCCTCCAAGAAGGCTGCCGAACAAGTAATCAGTTACCCCCTTGTTGGTGGGACCCCAGTCCTTCAAGAAAGCCGGATTCACAATCAGTTGTCTGTGTTGGTGGGACCCCAGTCCTCCAAGAAGGCCGCCGAACAAACAATGAGTTACCCCCTGTTGGTGGGACCCCAGTCCTTCAAGAAGGCCGCCGACAAAATATCCACTTACCCCCTGTTGGTGGGACCACAGTCCTTCAGGAAGGCCGCCGCAACAAGATCAGTTACCCCCTGTTGGTGGGACCCCAGTCCTTCAAGAAGGCCGCCGACCAAATAATCAGTTACCCCCTGTTGGTGGGACCCCAGTCCTCCAAGACGGCCGCCGAACAACTCATGAGTTATCCCCTGCTGGCGGGACCCCAGTCCTTCAAGAAGTCCGCCGAATCAACAATCAGTTGCCCTGTGTTGGTTGGACCCCAGTCCTTCAAGAAGGCCGCCGAACAAAAAATCAGTTACCCCCTGTTGGTGGGACCCCAGTCCTTCACGAAGGACGACGAACAAATAATCGGTTACCCCCTGTTGGTGGGACCCCAGTCCTCCAAGAAGGCCGCCGAACAATCAATCAGTTACCCCCTGTTGGTGGGACCCCAGTCCTTCATGAAGGCCGCCGAGCAAATCATGAGTTAACCCCTGTTGGTGGGACCACAGTCCTTCGATATGGCCGCCGACCAAATAATCAGTTACCCCCTGTTGGTGGGACCCCAGTCCTTCAGGAAGGCCGCCGAAAAGAATCAGTTACCCCCTGCTGGTGGGACCCCAGTCCTCCAAGACGGCTGCCGAACAAACAATCGGTTACCCCCTGTTGGTGGGACCGCAGTCCTGCAGGAAGGCCGCCGAACAAAACATCAGTTATACCCTGTTGGTGGGACCCCAGTCCTTCACGAAGGCCGCCGACAACAATCATCTATTATCCTCTGTTTTTGGGGCCCGAGTCTTTCAAAAAGGCCACCGGACAAACAATCAGTTACCCCGTGTTGGTGGGACCCTTGTTCTCAAGAAGGCTGCCGAACAAATAATCAGTTACCCCCTGTTGGTGGGACCCCAGTCCTTCAAGAAGGCCGCCGCAACAAGATCAGTTACCCCCTGTTGGTGGGACCCCAGTCCTTCAAGAAGGGCGCCTCAGAAAATCAGTTACCCCCTGTTGGTGCGACCCCAGTCCTCCAAGAAGGCCGCCGAACAAACAATCAGTTACCCCCTGTTGGGGCCCCAGTCCTTCAAGAAGGCCGCCGAAAACAAATCATCAGTTACCCCCTGCTGGTGGGACTCAAGTCCTTCAAGAAGGCTGCCGAACAAATCATGAGTTACCCCCTGCTGGTGGGACCCCAGTCCTTCACGAAGGACGACGAACAGTCAATCAGTTGCCCCGTGTTGGTTGGACCCCAGTCCTCCAAGAAGGCCGCCGAACAAACAATGAGTTACCCCCTGTTGGTGGGACCCCAGTCCTTCAAGAAGGCCGCCGACAAAATAACCAGTTACCCCCTGTTGGTGGGACCACAGTCCTTCAAGAAGGCCGCCGAACAAACAATCAGTTACCCCCTGTTTGTGGGGCCCCAGTCCTCCAAGAAGGCCGCCGAACAAAAATCGGTTACCCCTATTGGGGATGGGGGGCTGTAAAGACTTTTCGCGGCTGTGCTTCCCGCCTCGGCCGGCCAGGAGGGCGGCGCATATCCACACTAGCGGCGACTCAACCACGACAACGCCAACACAGCAGCACAGAAGACCTGCGGTGGTTATGAGCGGCTGGGAGCACTGAGTGGTGGTTATCACGTGAGTCCGCCTACCTATCACATGTTTGAGGCCACGGCCTCCGCGCCACGCCCTATGTGTGCACGGTCGGGCTCCCGGGATACTCACGCACGACTCCAGCGTTCGTTCGCTTCGCTTCGCTTCGCTTCGCTTCCCGAGCCTCAGAGCAGTGCAAAAGCACGCGTCCGCCCCCCGGGAGATCGGTGGTCCCGTGATGGGGTCCTGAGGGATGGGGTCCCAAGGGGGAGGCGCCTCAAGCAGTGCAAAGGCACGCGTCCGCCGGCCCAGGAAGTCGATGGTCCCGAGATTGGGTCCTGAGGGATGGGGTCCCAAGGGCAAGCTGCCTCAAACAGTGTACAGTCACCTCGCATAGTCAGGACGAGCAACTTTCCGAGGGTACCCTTGCATCCTTCCCCTTCATCCCATCCTTGGCCGCTTTCGCTGGCCGCGCCTCGCTCGCAAAGTGTCGACATGGCCTTCCAAGGCCCTTCCATCCTTCTTGCACGGGTCGACTGTAAATCCACCTTTGGGTCGTGATCGTTTTCTTATCCATTGTTTTGCCGATGAGCGCGGGCCTTCGCACCCCCTTCCCCCGCCCTCCCATGAAGTAGATCTTTGCTGTTTTTGGCGCCTGTCTCAAGCAGGTGGAGTCTCCCCCATAGGACGCACTGTTGCAAACAGTCGCATTCAGCAGTGGTCCGGAGCTCCCCCCCTTCCGCCCAGAGTCGAAACAGAAGGAAACGTTCACCTGTCCTTCGGACCCCATCCCTCAGGACCCGATCTTTGAGCCACCGACAGGACGGACGGGGCGAACGTCCTCTTCGTGGGCTGCGGCGACAGCAGTGCCCGCATCATGGACCTGATGCACCGGGAGCACCGCCAGCACTGCTGGGTGCTCTGGCGCGGCCTCAGGTCTCCGATTGCCAGCGTCCTCCTCCTCTCGAGGAAGATACAGTCGAAACCGGTGATAAGGATGGATCACCTTCTCAAGGGTACCCTTGCATCCTTGCCTCTTCGGTTCATCCTTAAGCTTTTTGATGGTCAGCCCCGCTCGAAAAGCAAAGACATAGGCGTACAAGGGGCTTGCGTCTTTACCGCGCATCCTTACTATTAGTTTTGACTGTAATCCTACGTCTGCTAGTGGGGCTCAGCCTTCTTGTGAATCAGGGAGAGGTTAAGCTTAGCTCCTCTGTTATCTTTCGGCTGGGGCAGTACTTTTCACTCGAATATGTTTTTTCCTTTCGGCATTTCCTGGGCAACCCATTAGAATCTCGACGCCCAGGTCAGCATTCGTCTAGCAAGAAAAGTGGTGCCTCACTTGTCCTCCCAGGCTGACTGTGATTCCCAGAAGCTTGACACGTTCTATCAGCAAGCGATGACAAGACACTGCACAAACATAAACATTCGGAGGTCTGCGCGGACCCCCGAACGTGAACGATTATTACGTACGCAAGCGCATATCCCTACCAGCCAATCCACAAACGATTCCCAGGTGGGTTGCTCTGATGAGGGAAGAATCGCAACATGCAGTGGATCAAAGAGTGAAGGGAGACTATATATGCCTTCGCGGTTCCCTCAACGGTGAGGGAGGAGGAGGTGGTGGAACATCAGGGACGACGGCGATGATGATGATGATGATGATGATGATGATGATGATGATGATGATGATGATGCTGACGATGATGATGGTGATTGTGATGATATTGCTGATGATGATGATGCTGATGATGGTGATGAAGGTGATGATGGTACTAATGATGGTGATTCTGCCGATGATGGCGATGATGATGTTTTTGCAGATGCTGATGATGATGAGAGTTCTGATCATGATGATGACGATGGTGATGATGATTGATGATGCTGGTGATGATGATGACGAACGCGATGACGATGATGCTGATGGTGATGGTGATGCTCATGGCGCGATGACGGTGGTGATGCTGAAACCGATGAAGATGCTGATGTTGCTGATGATGATGGTGATGATGTTGATGATTATGATTTTGATTATGATGTTGCTGATGATGAACGGTTGTCAGGATGCTGATGTGCATGCTGATCATGATTATATGATGATGATGGTGATGATGATTGTGATGATGATGCTGCTACTGGTACTGATGATGGTGATGATGCTGATGACGCTGCTGCTTATGCTGATGCTGATGATGCTGCTGATGATGCTGATTATGAATGTGATGAGGTTGACGACGATGACGATGCTGATGATTCTGATGATGCTGGTGATGATGATGATGATGCTGGTGCTGATATTAATGATGCTGATGATGATAATGCTGCTGATTATTATGATGATGTTGATGAAGATGGCGATGCTGGTGATGCTGCTGCTGATTATGATTTTGATGATCATTATGCTGGTAATGCTGATGATGATGCTGATGCTGCTGATGATGCTGATGATGCTGATGATGCTGCTGATGATGATGATGACGATGATGACTCTTTTATGATGATGATGCTGATGCTGATGATGATGATGATGATGATGCTGATGCTGATGCTGATGCTGATGCTGATGCTGATGATGATGATGATGATGATGATGATGATGGTGATGATGATGATGATGATGATGATGATGATGATGATGATGATGATGATGACGACCATGAAGGGAGGTGGAGGAGGATGATGAGGAGGAGCAGAAAGGGGATGAGCAGCAGCAGCAGCAGCCGGGAATAGGGCGAGCATACGGAGCCGACGAAAACGAGCGGTCTCCGCGGTCAGGTGGTGTGCTCCTCTCACCTCGTCCTCCTCTTACTGGCCAAGGGCCCCGCGGGCGCTGCTCCCCTGCAGTGCCAGCGCGACCGCCAGCAGCAGCAAGCTCTTCAGCATGCAGAGCCCAGCTCTTCTGCCACGAGTCAGGGCCCCAACAGCGGCGAAGGCCGCGGCGCCCAATACATCCTCCTAGCTTGCTCTCAGAGACTTAACCTTGCGGCCAGTGCCGTCGACCCTGACCAGGGACGACGACGACGACGCCAGCGGCGGCGACGACGAGGACAACGGCGGCGACGACGGCGATGACGACGACGACGCTGACGCTCTGGAGCCGAAAGCCCGCCAGCTCTCATAGATTTCTGATCTGTCTCGGCCCGATCTGGGCTCCCTCCTGGCGTCGCCTGCCCCGCACCCGACACCCGCACCGAACCGCACCCGTGGCCGAACCGAACCCGCGCCCGCACCGCCGGCGCCGAGCCTCGCGCCAGCGCAGCGTCGG